AAGAATTTTTAACTTTGTATTCCTCACGATCGCATCTCGTCATACGATCAAGTTGTGCTCTTGATTTGAATGTTCATCATGATAATCCAAATGCTCAGAGAAATGTTAGAAATACAATTATTTTACTCCGTAAAATTAATACATAAAATATATCTATTTTCCACTTTAATTACTTGATTAAAATTCGATATTCTTCTCTACATACGCAGAAAAACAAGACCACTTTTCATTTCATGACTGAGTTCAACAGTTACATAGTTAGATAGTTATCATAAAGAACCTTTATTCCCTTCGGAATTACATAATTACATAGTTACATAGTTATCAGAAACAACGTTTTTTCTCTTCGTAATTACATAGTTGTACACATGTGTGACTTTGTATGTTGACATAACTGATAACATAATGGACCATCGATAATGGTATATGATGATCCAGTGTACAATCACAATCAAAAAAATTAACGCGGAGGCCCTTCAGGAAGGCTAACAAAAAGAAATGCAAATGATAGATAGACACAAGTAATCAATAGCATTCAAAATCTTACTTTCACGATTGTATGTGCGACAGAAGACAACCGGGTTCAGTTTTCTCCTCCGATACCACTTATCAAAAATTACTGCGATTTTCATCAAAAAATGAAAATCAACAAAAAGTTTTGAAATATATATTATTCGACTTGAATTTTGACGCTGATCCTGAAAATTTCGCCTAAAATTAAGCGCATCCAATGATGTAGACTCATATCCACATAATGACATATGATAAAAAAACTGAAAGTAACACAATTCAAGTCGATTTTAGATGGGTTTTCAAACTTGATATGATTCGTTTAGTTTTATTAGTTAAAACTGATATAGATAATGTGATTTTTTTACGTCAATTTACACAACATCGACGAGATCATCAAACTCTGATAGAGAATAGTTGATTAACCAAGCAAAAAAGAATTTTTTGGAGCTAGCTTGAGCTAGCTAGAAGGAACATTTACCTAGCTTGAGCTAGCTTATTGTTCCTTTGTAGCTAAGCTACGTTTTTGCTTGGGTAGTCAATAAAATTGAAAACAGAATATTTTTATCACGTTTTATTCAAAAATTACTCGAATTTCCAAAAAAGTCTCTCTTATTGTTGAATGAACTGTATCTATTTTCACAATAAAAAAAATGCCACCTCTCTGCATGTTCTTTTGTGTGTAGATGAATAAAAGAAAAAATGAATTTGATATGGATGATAATAGTAATCAACCAAAAGAATTTGTATGTATCTTATGTTAGTTAAAACCAATTTATGCACAATGGCCGTATCGTGGCTACAATCATTGTTTTTCCCTTTCAGACTTGGTCAAGTGGAAATGGATCTATTAATCTATTAGTAATTGGTGGAAAAGATCCTGCAGAATATGGGCGACGGGTATTAAAGGCATTGTTTTCAGAATATGATCTTGCTACAAAATTAATGCCATCGCCCAGCGGATGTAAAAGATCTAATCGTGAATTATTAGATCCAGATAAAATAGTCGTTCTTAAAAGTAATAATTAGTTTTTTAATTAGAAATTTTTTTTTGTTGTATGATTAAAAAATAGGTCAGTAAACGTGTTTTGGATTAACAAGCATATTATGAACTCTAGATGGATAGATCCTTGGAGCTGTTGCTGAATAACACTGTAGAACAAGGAGTAGAAAAAACAAATTTGATAAACGAAACTTTCAAAGATGTTTGAAGGATATTTAAATCAATAGTGTCGCATTTCAGAATAAACTTTTTTTCTAAGAAACTTATAAAATTTTAACAGAATTTCATAGGATCCTATGTAGGATTCATCGACATGGGCGACTATACATTTTGAATACTCTGTTCAGGAAATTTTTGTATTTTAAAATGATCGTAATTTGTCAACGTTATTCGTATGGTAGCAATAGGCTGCATATTTGAGATCAGTATTGGTGAAATTAACTATATCGATAAGTTTCATCAAGTTTAAAAATAGTTACACCAGCAGGTCGTTTGAAAGACAAAAATAAACGGAAATCGAGATCCTTTGTTCAATGTGCCCAGTCTCATAGTTTACGTGCAGACCTACGTATATTTGTGGATTATAATGCGCTATATATTTAATGTTTGTACAACAGCTTTTCTTAATGCAAAAAAAGTTTTTTGAATTTTTTCTGAAAATTGAATTTTTTCTGAAAAATTAAATACAGAACACTACCTTTTACGATTCCAACCCTATACTGCAATTTTAGGCGAAATTTTCAGGATCAGCGTCAAAATTCAAGTCGAATAATATATATTTCAAAACTTTTTGTTGATTTTCATTTTTTGATGAAAATCGCAGTAATTTTTTGATAAGTGGTATCGGAGG